ATCCATCGGGATCCATCAGATCCATCAGATCCATTTTTTTTTATATAACTAAAATCCATTGGATCCATCAGATCCATCGGATCCATTTTTTTTTATATAACTAAAATCCATTGGATCCATCGGATCCATCAGATCCATCGGATCCATTTTTTTTTATATAACTAAAATCCATTGGATCCATCGGATCCATCAGATCCATCGGATCCATTTTTTTTATATAACTAAAATCCAATGTATCCATTGGATCCATCGGATCCATCAGATCCATTTTTTTTTTTATATAACTAAAATCCATTGGATCCATCGGATCCATCAGATCCATTTTTTTTTATATAACTAAAATCCATTGGATCCATCGGATCCATTTTTTTTTATATAACTAAAATCCATTCGATCCATTTTTTTTTTAATAATAATTCAGTGTTTTGGGATTTGAACCCACAAACCAAATAGTACTGTGACAATCCAGAAGGTGGTCTGTAAACATTGGCACAAGAGCTTGTTCGCCATGCGTAAATTTTTAACTAGTTTTTGGGATTGGATTTATTCAAATTTGATGTGATTTTGAACATAATTATATTGCTGTTACTTTGAGTAAAATATTGTTCGTTTATACATTGTTCTAGTTTCTATAGCTTTTATTGCCTTAACAGTCGAACTATATGTGATTTTGAATCATTTGTTAATTGTTCGTTTATTTTATTATGCATGACAAAACCAGAAATTTATAGTTTGATGGTCACAACAAATTTGAGCATAAAAATGTTAAAATTGCACACCAAAACATTAGCAATTACCATGTTTCGCTCGCTACTCTGGTTTAAATAAATGATTACAAAGCCCAGTCGAATTGTAATCAAGACCCAACGTTTCGACACTCCAGTCTAGTGTCTTCACATTCAAGGTGTCACAGAACCAATCAAGAGAATCTTAAGTAATTGTAATATTAAGGTTGCCTTAAAACCCTATTTGACTTTAGGCCATATTTTCGCAAAGCCGAAAGATCCTGTTGAAAACAAATCAGAAGACTCATGCTATATATATATTCTATACCATGCGGTGACTGCGACAAAGAGTATTTGGGTCAGTCTAAACGCCAGTTTGGTACACGGCTAAAAGAACATCAAAAGGCTGTTTCAACTTTAGACAAGGGAAAATCAGCTTTAGCCGAACATGTATGTTACACGGTCACCAAACACGAGATTGCGTGGGAAAACTCTAAAGTAATTATCACAAACAATCGCTATGGTCAAAGACTTTGCCTAGAAGCGTGGCATATAAATATGAGTCATCATGTTTTGAATAGGGATGACGGTGCCTATTTGCCAGAGGAATATATGCATCTTCTTGGCAGGTGACGTCATCCCTTGGGTATTTAAGAAGCCACGATCGCAGTTTTAGATCACCCCTGATGAAGACACTAGAATGGAGTGTCGAAACGTTGGGTCTTGATTACAATTCGACTGGGCTTTGTAATCATTTATTTAAACCAGAGTATAGCGAGCGAAACATGATAATTGCTAATGTTTTCGTGTGCAATTTTAACATTTTTATGCTCAAATTTGTTGTGACCATCAAACTATAAATTTCTGGTTTTGTCATGCATAATAAAATGAACGAACAATTAACAAATGATTCAAAATCACATATAGTTCGACTGTTAAGGCAATAAAAGCTATATAAACTAGAACAATGTATAAACGAACAATATTTTACTCATAGAATGAGTAACGTATGTTCAAAATCACATCAAATTTGAATAAATGCAATCCCAAAAACTAGTTAAAAATTTACGCATGGCGAACAAGCACTTGTGCCAATGTTTACAGACCTTGTGAATAAGCGCACAATTTTGCAATATAAATCTGTATTTCTAGACCATTATTACTTTTGAAAAACCAGAAGCATGTTAGTTATAAGTAAAACAACTTTGATTTTTTTCATAAAGTTTTATACACAACTGGTGGCAAAAATGACGTTTAGAGAGTGTGGTATTTTTCCTTTAGACCATAGTTAATGGAGGAGATGGTTTGGAAACTCATTAGCATTACAATAAACCTCACGATCTATGTTTTTGTTCAGGTTTATGCAAAAATGTGGTCTTTCATCGTCACGTGCGTATTGTATTTTTGCTCAACCAGCCAATAGCAACGGTTTTGTCCATTGCCCATCCCTGACTTTAACAATAGGACATTTTGAACATTCCTATTGGTTGACTTGAGAAAAATACAATACGCACGTGACGATGAAAGACCACATTTTTGTATAAACCTGAACAACATAGATAATGAGGTTTGTTGTGATTTTATTGTAATGCTAACGAGTTTCCAAACCATCTCCTCTATTAACTATGTTTAGACGTAAGACGACATATGCATTAACCCCAAATTTTATTTCATTAAAGTCTCTCAGTATACTCAATTTCAGCCATTCTGTTCCAATATAACTCCAGAGTAGAAGGCCTGCCGTATCTATCATATTGGATTCGAAACATTTTTGAAAAACGTCGTATTTCTAATATAATGCCTAAGGCTTCTGTGGACACAACCATATATGAATAGGCATATAACAAATTATATGCCTATTCGTATGGTTGTGTCCACAGAACCCTTAGTCTTAGCCACCCAAAGTCATCTTGAATTATGATTAATGTTCTTATTAACTTTTGACTTCAAATATTCTTTTTGAATTGTCATGTAATTTAGCATTCTGAGAGAAATCATTTGAAGAAATAAAATTTGAGCCAGAATGAGTTTCAATTTATGTTAATTGTTATTAAACTTTTACTCGAAATTTTTTTAATTGTCTTGTAAGTGAGTATATACAAAGATAAATCATTTCATGAAATAAAGTTTAGGGCTAACATCCTCTTCGGACATCATTGTTGCCAAACCCTTTAGATGTTATTTTACATCAGCAGTAACAATTGCCCAAAAATACAGATCTTGATTGCAAATTTCCCAACCCAATCTTCCACAGTACTATTCAGCCCCGACCACGGACACTGCTTTTTTATTATTTTCCCCGAAGTTAAAGGCCTGCGAAAAAAACTTCGTGCGCACGCCCTATTTATACATATTAGTTATTCCCTTTAAAATATGGGTACCGATTGTACGCAACCCTAGCAACTTATTAACATAATGTACGTTTAATTTTGAACGAAATGCTGAATGCAAACTTCCGACAACGCTATTATGACCGTACGTCGCTGATCTTGGCTTGCTCTACAGAGTGTTTTCATGGCGACCATGTTCAGGAACAAATCTGGATCGAAATTAATACATATTTCTTTTTTTTAAAAAAGCGAGTTTGCTCCTTAACAAACCAAACATAAAAACACTCTAACCCTGGCGGTCTTTTCATTAAAAGTAATGCCGTATTTACACTTGAAGTGTTCCTCAAATATTGATTCAATACATTACCTTAGGCTGACCAATTCATTTCATCAAATTTTTTCTGTGTTGGTGTTGTGTACTCAGGTGAATAATATGTTTGCGATGTTACTCTGAGTGCATATCCACACCGGGCGAGCTTGAAAAATATGCCCGGCCACGGTGGGATCGGGCATATTTTTCAAGCTCGCCCGGTGTGGATATGCACTCAGAGTAACATCGCAATCATTTCATCAAGTTCCTCGAGATATTCATACACTTCCTGTGAAAGAGCCAATTCCAAGAATTTGATAATTTCTGGTCACTTCCTTTCTATTTATGATTGGTAGTTGCACAAACAACAAAGGTGATTGGTGCATTCAAACTATTCAACAGGAAGTTTACAATTAAGTAAGGAAGTGTATGAATATTTCGAGGAACTTGATGAAATGAATTGGTCAGCCCGAGGTAATGTATTGAATCGATATTTGAGGAACACTTCAATTGAAACGACAGTAATGCACTTGTAAATGTCGTAACAACTTGAATCTAAAGGCATTTGCCAGAAAACGCACAACCCAGATTCAAATTGCAAAATAGCAACGTTTCGTGCGCGTGTATATTGCGAAGTTTCGACGCCTCTAAACTGTCTATCTCCCTAACTATTTTGCGCACACGACGGACCATATTATCCGCATGCAACCGCCCTGAAAAGGAATATCCCCTGAAGGTATTGAGCCGCAATGACCGCCATAAGAGAGGGGACCTAGTCACTGGTAGCGGACTGTTTTTTCATGAAGTAAGACCGGCTACCAGGAAAATACATGCTTTACCTTACTACGGGAGAGAAAATGTTTAAAAAAACCTTGCCACCATAATTGTCTTATTCTCGCCGATCCAAACGACCAACATGATTTCCACCAAGTCTTCCTACGGGTACCATTTGCACCCTCTAAGCTATGGGTACCATTTGTACCCCGTAACCCCAAGACCAACGATGCCAGTTTTTTTTTAAAGGTTTAGATGAGGGAAGTGACAAATTCTTTTTTACTAACAAAGCGACAAGATATTACAAAGAATCAAACAGCAATTTACAATCGTCGTTGTATTTCGAAAGACAAAACTCTGGCAAAGCTTTTCTTGCACACATCCTGCCTCATGACCCTGTCTAAACTATTGTGTTGCTGCGCTTGTAATGCGTATGCACCAAGGCAGTATATTTACACAGAGGGAAACCATGCAATAACCATACACTCAAATGTTCCCTCTTTTTTTTTCAGATCGGTTTTCAAATTCAGAAGCTGACGAATTTCGAAAGTACAGTTTTTGCAAAGAAAATCATCGTTATAAACTTTCGTTCAAGCTATCAAAGTCTACTGAATAGAAAATAGATCGAATGTGTAAATATACTGAACATTTAGACCGCCAGGATTTATGCCGGATTTCATTGTACCCAGAACAACAAAACAAACAATGGATGGCCTGGATACAAGTATCTACAGCCTGTTCGCAGGCAAACAAGAAAGAACAGTACCTGAGAGTGGACATTTCTGTGACCTTTGTATGTCCATTAACTGAATATCCATTACGGGGCCATATTTATCCATCATAGTTTCTTTGTATCCATTTATTACAGTCACAAATATCCACTGCTGACCATGGACATTTGATCAATCCTTTCATTTCATCCGAGGCATCCAATTTCATCATCGTCTTTGTCGTTTGGTACATTTTCTTTAAATTCATAGCTTCGTGATCATAACTACTGTCTTTGGTGTATTGTTGTAATTTGATTAGAAATAGAGGTATTCCCTCCTGTATTGCTCTTCAAGGCATGTCATCTTGGTAACATGATATTTTATAAATCAATATTTCATCAGCATGTTCAGTAATGATCTGTAAAACAAAGCAAAAAAACAATAATTAATTCAGATATAAAACTTAAACCATTTTGCTACAAAAAAACCCCAAATTAAACCGTTAGGTTGTACTGTGCCCTGATGCATGCTCTACTTGAGTATTTTACTGTCCAACACCAGACGATTTTATGCTTCATAATGAGACTGCCCAAGTGTCTAGTTACCCATTAACTGCCAGTGCACCCCCTGCTTAATTTTATTTGTCAAGCCAGCCAGATAGTTGAATTGCTGTTCTCCAAGATAAATAGGATTAACTCCTTAAGCTGCAAAGGAACTCAAATGTCTGATATCAGATCATTTCAAATTCCTATAAACATAGCATGTAGTTGTAAGAAGCATGTTTCGTGATATATTTATGCCGCAATTTTTGCTTTTTGCATGTTCTAAACATGTATCATTTTTACTAGGGATGAGCCGATTAATCGGTAAATAATCGGCAAAGCCGATTAATCGGCCGTTTTTTAAATAATCGGTAATCGGCCGATTATTGCCTGATAATCGGCAAATAATCGGCCATAAGACTTTTTCTGCAGCTGCCAATCACATGCTAAAATACTGAATACAAGCGAATAGATTTTCACATTTTGTTGCAAAACCTGTGTCTTTTGTCTCAAGCGAAGTGAAGCTGGGAACACTTCCACTAACAAAACGCAGCAGACTAGCTCCGCATAGCTGACAATGTCTTGTTTTTACACCATAATCTGCCAAAACTAATACAAAGTGTGTATTGTAAACAATAAAACCGCATTTACAACTTCATTGTTGGTCATCTTGTGATTTTTCGCTTGCTTTTTAAAATAATCGGTGGGTACCGATTAATCGGCCGATTAGTTACAATAATCGGCTTATAAATAATCGGCCTCAGTAATCGGCAATTTTCCTTATCGGCTCATCCCTAATTTTTACAGATTAAATTGTTACACGCCGCAATATTGTTTCCACTTAATTGGACAGCCTTACTTCGTTCCTATTCACAGGGAACCCCCATTTTATCACTATTATAAATATCCACTAACCTTAAAACATCATCCTTCTTTAGTAATTTAAGGTAAGTAATTGTACCAATTTATACAAGATATTTGCCCAAGATATTCATCACATTGCACATTTGCCCAAGATATCCACCAAGAAATGCACATGGTGTAGGTTTGCCAGCGACACATTTTCATCTATTCATTACAATGCCCGATGTCTCTTTACAACAACCAGGACGAGTAGAAAAGAACGCATTGTGTTCCACATCATTTCACTAAAATGACGAATTTTAAAACAAATTTAGCTTCAAAATACCCTAAATACTTTATGCACTCATCTCTCTATTAATTTGAACTAAACTTCACAAAACATTATTAATTTAAGGTATAATTCAATATTTTATCCCAGAACAAACATCAAACGCAAAGCAACTTGCAACAGCAAGATATAGAGCTGCAACATACCCTAAACTTGAATATAAATTTGAATATAATTTAGTATCTGGGATGCCAATTTCTGTTTTAGCATAAAAATACAGACTTCCGATTGGTGTGGGTATTTACAAAAGAATCTCCCTGATTGGTCAATAGAATGAATGCAGCATACAAAATTATTATGCCAAATGTATAATTCTCTATGCCAATAATATTTATATTGGCATTGGTAAAGACAACCCTAGGCTGGGGGACCACTGTGTACTGCCCCAAAATAATCGTCAAAACTTTCTGAAAATTGTGATGTTTGCAATGTTACTCTGAATGTGTATCCACACCAGCTGAAAAGTTAGCTTGGCCATGGTGGGAATCGAACCCACAAGCTTTGGGATACTAGTCCAATGCTCTGACAACTGAGCTACATGGTCAAGTCGGTTGATGATATTTTGGAAGTCTAGTTCTTTCGATATCAGTGTATTCTATGATATGATCGAAGGAACTGGACTCGGTTACAAAATATCATCAACTCGAACCCACTTGACCACATAGCTCACTTGGCAGACCATTGGACTAGTATCCCAAAAGTCGCGGGTTCAATTCCCACCACTTTTATAAATTCAGTTCTAAATAATCACTTTCGACTGATAAAGGAAGTTTGCTTTGAATTTTAGTTGTTAAAATAGGGTTAAGCTAACCCAGCTTTGAACAACTGGCCCCTGGGGCCAGTGGTTCAAAGCTTTAGCTGATTAGTGCTACCAGTGGGTAAAAATTAACCAGCTGTTTTGGGTACATCTGCACTTCTGTTTATTTTAAAACTTTGGAAAATAAAATTTCTATTGAACCAGACAAGAATTCTGGAAAATTATCATCATATTTATAAACAAGCTGCAGGGAAAACAACCAGGAAATTTTCCAGAAAATTGGGCTATTCCATTTAATATCCAGAACCTCCCTTTTTAACTCCCAAATTCCTCATGGGTAAACAAATTCTCCTGTGGAATTCATAGACGGATTTTCGGAGGGGGGGGGGGAGGTGCTACCCTGCAGTGCCTTGCCATGCAAATAGCTTATTTGCAAGGAACGTTTGGAATTTTTACGAACATTATTTTAGTCTTTAATTTAATTCTTTTAGGAAATAGACTTGCCTAGATTTAATCTTTAAAAATCCATTGATATGACAACTTCAGAAAACTTTTTCAATGCTAGAAATCATGATTTTTTCAAATTTTTCCTGGGATACTTTGTTTTCTGCTGTCTAGCCCCGCCCCCCACTCGCAGCTCTATAGTGCTCCACCCCTAGACTATAGACCTTACTGGGGTTTGGTGACACTTTGTGTTGCTTCAGTCACCTGCTCACGGCTCACCCCCCCCTAAAATTTCTGGCACCACCTCAGTAAAAAAATGAAAATCCGTCTATGGTGGAATTCTTCAGGGGTTCGTTATTTCGAATGCAATTTCCTTAGGGGTCAGGTGTAAAAATTGTACTTCTTCAGGGGTAAATGCTGACTTCTTCAGGGGTAAATGCTATTTAATTAACAGGAATTCTTCAGGAGATCTCTTTTATGTCAGGAATTCTTCAGAGATATGGTAAAACCATTGTCCTCGATAGGGGGGTTACGTCTTTTAAATGGAATATCCCAATTAAAAACAGACCCCTTCTAGAAGTCTTCGAAAACTTTCTGAAAATTGTTGAGAAACATTTCTCTTGTCAAAACAATATTAAACTTTTGACCAATAAAAAGCAACCATTGAAGGAAAATTCATTGTTGACATTTCTTGTATAATAGTGCTTATAAATAATTATTAATATCGAACTAATAATCGTACTGAAGTATGGCATCCAATTATTACATTTTGTAAAGTAGTAATATAAAACAGTTTTTTGCAACAGCAAATCAGCATATTTGGCAAAGGCATAGCGTGGATGCAAAATGAAACAAGGTTGGGGGTCAGGTTTTGTTTTAGATATTTTTTGTTTGACATAGGGGCCAGGGTGCATTTTAAGTGGCCTAAGCCGAAGATCTTCGGTGTGAGTTTGGCACATTACAATACTATCAATAGTTAACATTGGCGTATCTTCGGCGTAGACTTTACATGGAATGCACCCTGGCATAAAAGCTTTTTATATTGGACTGGGCTGGCCCACTTGACAGCCCGATAAGCGAGATCTCGCTGTGTAGTAGAATTTAAAAATTCCTGTGCGTTTATATGGACAACGGAGGTGAAAATTTGGCCCGGTTGCCAGGATGAAATATTTTCGATAGTGTGAAGTCTTTTCTGCAATTATTTTTATAGTTCTTGACATTACATATGTAAAAGAGACAAAACAAAAGGTTGCAAATACTGTGACTTGCGCAGTTGAGCTTAGAGACAGGAAGTTTTACCGTGCAGTTTGATCGTTGAAACACACAACTTATCAAGGGCAAACTCAAATATTGTCAAGCGGAACTGTGAATGTTTTCATTGGAAATTTAGGCACTTCTGGGCAATCATAGCAAAGAAGGCGCAGAAATTATGTGATTGGCCAAAAGTGCCTAAATTTCCCATGAAAACACTCACATTTCCACTTGACAACATTACGATCAAACTGTGCGGTAAAACTTCCTGTTTCTAAACTCAACTGCAAATCGCAGTATGTGCTTCAATAGCGGGTCTCTGTAAAGAACAGAAACCGAAACAACCGAATCCGGAAACGACCGAAACCAGAAATTCCCACCTAATTTCCCCGCATAAAATTGCCTAAAATTTAGCCTGCAAGCAGGCTCACCGGGATAATAAACAAAGACTGTCAAATTGACGCAGGGTGTGAAATGTACAACAAAGAAATGTATAAAACAAGTGTAACTCCGAAGATCAATAACATTTTTATATTTTAATACCAACATTTTGACTATATTTCAGTCATCATCAGGATAAAGAAATGTATATAACATTAATATGAAACATTAGCAAGCCACACAATTTAATTAAATATAGGCTCCAAATAATACATTACGAGCTAATCAATACACATACAAATCAGGGTTCGAAATAACGGTTCGTGATTCGTGAATCACGAATCAATTTTCATTTTTCACGAACCCAATTTCATAGAAATTGATCAAAATCACGAATCAAAAGTCTCTCAAATTGATAAAAATATACAATAATAAATTCAGTTCTTTGTAAATGTAATGAACCATCATATATTTTGAAGATATTGTTGTTAGATTGTGCTTAAAAACGATTATAATTCCACCCAAAATTCTATTTCTTTGCGAGTTTGCGATGTATATTATATATTTGAAAATTGCAGTGCTTCCACTTGTTAACTTCCAATTACAGAAAATTCCTTGAAAATTCCTTAAAATTTCCTTAAAATAAAAAATTAATTCACGAACCATTTTTTCAGAATTAATTCGAACCCTGCAAATCAGGGCTCAATATAACAGCCGGTCAACAGACAATGGCCGGCCAAAATTGCCTCTTGACCGTTCACTTATTTACCTCACCGGTCATTTTGACCAGCCACATTTTCATACTTTTCCCTAGAATTTTAAATCGTTTTTTCTCCTCAGCATATGATGTCTGCTGAAATATTGTCCGAGAAAAACTGTATATTTCATCGCAAGTACGCAACTTCACCGTAAGTACGTCGAGTTATGTACGACAAAAACATAGTATATGCTGACCTTCAAAGGTTTCGACTTTGTTTTAATTATGTTGTTTTAATACTCAGATTTTTCTCAAAAGTGATTGGCTTCAAGTAAAAATTCCAGACTCTTCGTCGCCTAACGAATCAGCTGGGTTTTTTGGGTAGCACCACTTGACTAATGCCTCTCTTATAGCCTGGATTTGGGCGATCAAGGATTGTACGAAGTGTGGACGGAAAACCATCAAATACCTCTGCATTTTTTGCAAGACTCAATTTGCATATGCTCTGTGGCTTGCTAAAACACTAGGTTACAGCGAAGAAAATTTTCTTGTTGGAAAATGTAAAGAAGGTAGCTGCGAAAGTAGTCGCACGACACAAAAGCCCTCAGGATTTTCAGCGGCAAAACTGAAACCTCGACAATCAGATCGGCAAACAACTCTGGTAACGACGATAACGTTACCTGTTCACCTTTATATATAGGGACTGCTAACATCTTAACTAAGCATTTAAAACATGACAAAGCAATAAAAGTTGTCTCAAGACAAATTTCTTATAACTTTTTTTCACTGTTAGTGCACAAGTATTAGTGACCGGTCGAAAACAGATTTTGACCGAGCTAAAATCAAGTTGACCGGTCATTTTGACCGGAGACCTATCGGCTGTTATATTGAGCCCTGCAAATATAAAAAATACACATACAAAATACACATATAAAGCCGAATAAAATACTACCATTGAATGCAATAATACTTGTACTACTTGTGATTGAAAGAACAAAGTTCTGAATATTTGAACCATTAAAATGCAGTCACATAAATTGGGATTTGGAAACATGTAAATGAGCATATTTTTTTTTTTAAATCACGAAGCGTGCCATTTTAGTGGAAGCCATATCGGATGTCAAATGAGAAAGTGAATGCAATATCGTTTTTGTCAAACAAAACCAGCATTGTTCAGGAAGATGATTAAGATTATGCAATTGAGATTAAGATTATTAAGATTGATGCAATAAGATTATTGAATAATTTACAAAATTGTTAGCAGTTAAATAGTATACAACCTTGTGACTTATGACATTCGGAGGATATTTATCTAAATGAAATGCCAGTGATCTAGCATCAACAATATAATTTATATTTGTTTATGCAGGAAATTAGGTGGGAATTTCCGGTTTCGATTGTTTCTGGTTTGGGTTAATTTCGTTCCTTACAGAGACCCTTCAATGTTTACAAAATAGTCAGTTTTGAAGCAAAAATTAATTTTGAAAGTTGTCCCGGGAAAGCCAATTGAGTGCATTGTAAACAATTTCTAGCCCAGCAAGCAGGATAAAATTTCCTTATATATTAAACGCAAGCAAAATTAATCCTGCGAAGAGGGCCAACCCTGCTTTTCCATATAAAACAGCCCTGTAGAAATGTTTCTTACAATATTTTTAAATTTCCCCCCCCCCTAACCTTTTTAATTCTCAAATAGTTCATTACACATTTATTGGTTAATGTTAGAAAACGGGTTGGGGTCTGTTTATCCATACCTTATCTTAAATATTCCGACTACAGTACAAATAGCAAATCAAACTCGGCATCAAACTACGTACTGTTCCAGTACTTCGTATTAATATACAACTAAATGAACTAATTATTAAAAATTAAACTGACCTTTAAACAGAAGAAATTGATTAGCTTGTATATATTGGTTTCTTTGTCATATAGTTCAATTGCTGTTGCTTGTAAATGTTTTATAAACCAGTACTGCGATGTAGCGAAATTTCGGGCGTCTTTCACAACAAATAACATCACAATAACTGCACATCTTTTTCTCTTTAATACAGAATCGTTTTCTCCGTCCATTGAGTTATAATTTCCAAAACTAACCAGTCGCTATAACGTAAAATAAGCGGGTATTTGTGAACAAAAATGCCCTTTGGTATGACACGAGGTAACCGGCGCCATCTTGTCTTCTCCAAACATAACAGATTTTCCCGCCAAAACCCGCCCCCGAAGTCCCGTATGTAAATGACGTCACAAGTGTTGTGAACGGGGGGGGGGGATACCATATTTGGTGGTAATTTTTTTTCAAATATACGCACTAAATCCAATTTTAATCTCTTTAGCTTCGCTACTATTGCTTTCCACATATTGTTTGACCCAACCACGATTGTAACATAACAATGTTTGCTCGCTAAACATTTTAAAATCAACAAAAATACAGTATTATTAAATCAACCTCATTAATTTATTTCATAATTTATGCTTATGCATGCTCTTCGGCAAGTTCCAGATTGGCAAGTTCGTTCCCAGGTCTTCGGGCGATAATCTGAAGTTGTCTGAGCCACTGAACTGTATACAGAACTGAATAGAAAGTCATTTTTTACGTTCAAACCTTACTTCATCAGGGTTTTTTTCAGGGATTTTTTTAACTCAATCTTGAATTGAGTTTTGAAACTCAATCTTCTCACCAAAGTTTCAGTGCAGTAAAAATGAAGTTGTTTGAGTTATAAAATTTGTGACATGTCGGAATTAGTTTTCAGTTGGAAGCCTGACAAGCCATCCAATTATTACATTTTGTAAAGTAGTAATATAAAACAGTTTTTTGCAACAGCAAATCAGCATATTTGGCAAAGGCATAGCGTGGATGCAAAATGAAACGAGGTTGGGGGTCAGGTTTTGTTTTAGATATTTTTTGTTTGACATAGGGGCCAGGGTGCATTTTAAGTGGCCTAAGCCGAAGATCTTCGGTGTGAGTTTGGCACATTACAATACTATCTATAGTTAACATTGGCGTATCTTCGGCGTAGACTTTACATGGAATGCACCCTGGCATAAAAGCTTTTTATATTGGACTGGGCTGGCCCACTTGACAGCCCGATAAGCGAGATCTCGCTGTGTAGTAGAATTTAAAAATTCCTGTGCGTTTATACGGACAACAGAGGTGAAAATTTGGCCCGGTTGCCAGGATGAAATATTTTCGATAGTGTGAAGTCTTTTCTGTAATTATTTTTATAGTTCTTGACATTACATACGTAAAAGAGACAAAACAAAAGGATGCAAATACTGTGACTTGCGCAGTTGAGCTTAGAGACAGGAAGTTTTACCGTGCAGGTTGATCGTTGAAACACACAACTTACCAAGGGCAAACTCAAATATTGTCAAGCGGAACTGTGAATGTTTTCATTGGAAATTTAGGCACTTCTGGGCAATCATAGCAAAGAAGGCGCAGAAATTATGTGATTGGCCAAAAGTGCCTAAATTTCCCATGAAAACACTCACATTTCCGCTTGACAACATTACGATCAAACTGTGCGGTAAAACTTTCTGTTTCTAAACTCAACTGCAAATCGCAGTATGTGCTTCAATAGCGGGTCTCTGTAAAGAACGGAAACCGAAACAACCGAATCCGGAAACGACCGAAACCAGAAATTCCCACCTAATTTCCCCGCATAAAATTGCCTAAAATTTAGTCTGCAAGCAGGCTCACCGGGATAATAAACAAAGACTGTCAAATTGACGCAGGGTGTGAAATGTACAACAAAGAAATGTATAAAACAAGTGTAACTCCGAAGATCAATAACATTTTTATATTTTAATACCAACATTTTGACTATATTTCAGTCATCATCAGGATAAAGAAATGTATATAACATTAATACGAAACATTAGCAAGCCACACAATTTAATTAAATATAGGCTCCAAATAATACATTACGAGCTAATCAATACACATACAAATCAGGGCTCAATATAACAGCCGGTCAACAGACAATGGCCGGCCAAAATTGCCTCTTGACCGTTCACTTATTTACCTCACCGGTCATTTTGACCGGCCACATTTTCATACCTTTCCCTAGAATTTTAAATCGTTTTTTCTCCTCACCATATGATGTCTGCTGAAATATTGTCCGAGAAAAACTGTATATTTCATCGCAAGTACGCAACTTCACCGTAAGTACGTCGAGTTATGTACGACAAAAACATAGTATATGCTGACCTTGAAAGGTTTCGACTTTGTTTTAATTATGTTGTTTTAATACTCAGATTTTTCTCAAAAGTGATTGGCTTCAAGTAAAAATTCCAGACTCTTTGTCGCCTAACGAATCAGCTGGGTTTTTTTGGGTAGCACCACTTGACTAATGCCTCTCTTATAGCCTGGATTTGGGTGATCAAGGATTGTACGAAGTGTGGACGGAAAACCATCAAATACCTCTGCATTTTTTGCAAGACTCAATTTGCATATGCTCTGTGGCTTGCTAAAACACTAGGTTACAGCGAAGAAAATTTTCTTGTTGGAAAATGTAAAGAAGGTAGCTGCGAAAGTAGTCGCACCACACAAAAGCCCTCAGGGTTTTCAGCGGCAAAACTGAAACCTCGACAATCAGATCGGCAAACAACTCTGGTAACGACGATAACGTTACCTGTTCACCTTTATATATAGGGACTGCTAACATCTTAACTAAGCATTTAAAACATGACAAAGCAATAAAAGTTGTCTCAAAACAAATTTCTTATAACTTTTTTTCACTGTTAGTGCACAAGTATTAGTGACCGGTCGAAAACAGATTTTGACCGAGCTAAAATCAAGTTGACCGGTCATTTTGACCGGAGACCTATCGGCTGTTATATTGAGCCCTGCAAATATAAAAAATACACATACAAAATACACATATAAAGCCGAATAAAATACTACCATTGAATGCAATAATACTTGTACTACTTGTGATTGATTAAAGAACAAAGTTCTGAATATTTGAACCATTAAAATGCAGTCACATAAATTGGGATTTGGAAACATGTAAATGAGCATATTTTTTTTTTTAAATCACGAAGCGTGCCATTTTAGTGGAAGCCATATCGGATGTCAAATGAGAAAGTGAATGCAATATCGTTTTTGTCAAACAAAACCAGCATTGTTCAGGAAGATGATTAAGATTATGCAATTGAGATTAAGATTATTAAGATTGATGCAATAAGATTATTGAATAATTTACAAAATTGTTAGCAGTTAAATAGTATACAACCTTGTGACTTATGACATTCGGAGGATATTTATCTAAATGAAATGCCAGTGATCTAGCATCAACAATATAATTTATATTTGTTTATGCAGGAAATTAGGTGGGAATTTCCGGTTTCGATTGTTTCTGGTTTGGGTTAATTTCGTTCCTTACAGAGACCCAACCTCGTTCCCAGGGTATTTGCTCTTGGGAAGCAAAGACCCTGGTGGACGCTGGTCACGTGACCCATAGAAAATTGATTGCCTCAGAGGGGGATGGAAAGGTTTCATATTACATGTTTCCACTTCCGCACTTCACACTTCGATTGCAAGGAGTGGCCGTGCTGTACAATAATCTTTGAGAATCATATATTCTTCAAAATTCTTGCTAAATTGGTCTCTGTTTGCCGTTTTAAATTATACAAACATGGTAAAATGCAGATTCTTGTACTAACAGACAAGTCAGCAAATCAAGCAACGAAAACGTATGACCGTATGGTTTGAAATATTTGCGTTTCTAATATTCTCTCGGGGTTCGGGCGCAATATTTTCATTTCATACATACGTTTCTGTCCTGGCTCTGCCTCTGCCTCTGGTTCAGATATTTACAATATTCTTATAATATGCCATTGAATTGTTGTCATATAGAAAGGAAACGGTATAAATTTTGTAAAATAGAGGTATCAAAAGCGACTGACAAAATTGTTTGGAATCGACACTCGACAGTGCACTTTTTTGTTTTCACGACTACCTGTTTGTTGAGCCAAAATATTGCACAGAATCTCCTGTAATAATTTATAGCTATCGCCATTCACCCTCCCACCCTGAATGCAAAGGAATGATATCCGAAAAGATTTAGCAAAGTATTTGTTATTATATCTGGTACGAAGTGTCCCTATACGTTTTATCAGGGTATATATTTATATATACATAATTCATAAACTGTATATGCGCACCAAGTCTCGCTCATAGAATTACTTAATGAGTTTTATTAAGCCTTTTAAAGTTTCTATTGATACTGATAGATAGGTTGTTTTCTTACAGTTACGATGTATCGTTTGGTGAAACTTCTAAAATTTCAATTACAGTTACGACACAGTATAGGGGTATATACGATAAAGATTAAAGACTTAAAGTTGATTTAAATATTGATGACTCACAGCGGCATTATACAAGTCGAAAGAAGCTGGATTTTAAGTTGGATTATTCTTCAAATAATGCCTGGGCATTAATACCAATGCCAATGAAAGGTCTACTGCAATATATGATATAATTTAGTCTAGTGCATATATCGTCCTAGATATTCAAGTTGTACCGCACGCACCGAGGAGTCTTGGCGTGTGATAACAGTATACTGTAGCTGTACTTCGACATATATCATTCTTGATCGTTGAGCTGTTTCAGCAATGAAAAATAAAAGGAATAATTGGTTTTAATCCTGTGCTTACTGTAATTCACAGTCAAAACAGCACTATTGTTTTTATATACACAGTTGGCGATGTTCAGTACTTCAGTTGGGAAATCAAAGGATCCCGTTATAAAATAAATCCTTTGTTTTGAATATCGGACAGGATACATTTCTACTATAAACAACCATATCATATCGTTCGTTTTATATAAATACCGTTTGATCGATCAGTCGGTGTAGAAGATATCAGATATGTATGTTTATACGGCGATCTGATGCGTGCTCACTAGCCAGGCGCGTGTGGAGTATATTTTTCCTTGCAAGTGAAATATGATCCAGCTTCGAATTCTCGCTTGAAATGTACCGCAGCACTTATTATTGATGACATTCAATATAGCAGGAAATCTTGTCATGATGAGTACGAATTTAGAACAGTATAAATCATGTTTATTAATACATGTAAAGTGAAGTATACAGCACTAATGCATCTGGCGAATGTCAACTACTACATTCCCACCCCTCCCAGATTGACAAAACAACGCTAATTAAAAATCTGCTAGATTTTAGCAGA